TTTTTTTTTTTCCTTAGAGTAGTTTTAAGTTCACAGCAAAATTGAGAGAAAGGTAGAAAAACTACCCAAATATCTATTGCCCCCAAGTCTCCCCCACAGTGTAATACATTTGAATGACTGGGAAAGGTTGCAGCATCAGCATTTATTTATTATCGTGCCTCAGGTTTATTTGTACAAAGGGCACAGGAGGACACCAGCCCCCCACAGATGGCACCCCAGGGATCACTCCAGTCCTTCTGTTTTTACATCAGCAGATAAGAGGCTTTTACCATGGAGCCTTTACAGGGGCCTGGGCACCTTTGGGAGCTTGGGCTGGAGCAGAAACTGGAGCCTGGGCCTTGGCCGGAGCCTGGGCCTTTGGCCGGCAAGGCCTGTGACCCTTGGCAATGCGGGCACGGATACACTTCCCAAGCTAGGGGTGGGCAATATAGGCAAGCCGAGTGAGCCTGTGGTTTACTCCCTTTGGAATGATCTTGGACTTGACCTCCTTGGACTGGACGAGGGCCTTGATAGCCTTGGCGCATACACTCATGGCCTGGCATTGTTTGCTTGTATCTTCTTGAAGCCCTGCTTGTTGTGCTTCTTGGCAAAATGCATATTCCTAAGGAACTTGGGATCTACCCCTTCAGAGATTCATTTCTCTGTGACCAAGATTTCTTGATGCCATTTCTGTGCCAGTTTTGGGACTGGTTGTGGGTGGTATGGTTCTTGGATTTGGCCATAACTGCACTGTAAATCATGGCTGCCAAGCACCTAGAACCAGAAGAATCCAGTGTTTATTAACTAATACTTTAGGTGCTAGATTGTACTATTGCTGATTTGAAATGACTGCCATCTGAGACCAAGAGAAGAAGGAGAAGTGGAGTAGTGCAGGGAAAAGGCAGCTTTTCCCGTAGGACTGGCTGTGTCCCCTGAATTACTACTACTGCCTAATTTCCTACATGGTGGTGAAGTCCACTTTAGAAAGTCCATTAATACATTCCAGAAGAGGAGAAAAAAGGAATTTCCCCTTGGTTCTGGAGAAGGCCTCTGGAGAAGCAATAGTATTCCCCACATCTCATAAGCAGTAGTGTGCTCTTTGGCTATATTCTAGGGGTTGAAAATAGATGGGTCTATGATTTAACAGGAGGAAGTATCCCAAGAAATAAGAAGTCTCTGAGGAACTTGCAGTTGTTGTTAGAATGCAGATTCACTT